GGATGGGAAGCGCCAACTTCGGGCTCTCGCGTGAGTGAGTGGACAGCTGCCCCCCAGCCCCCTGGACGGCCAGTGAGCAGCTGCCAGCCTCGCCCTGTTCCTGCCCATCACTGGTCGCCCCCCAAGCCAGCGGCTTCCAAGACCAAGATCCGCTCCCCAGTAGCTCCTTTAGTTCAGGGGTTTGGCCCCAGGGAAGTGGCTGCCACTCAGCAGCTGCACCGCCCTGTCCAGAGAGAGGACACACACAGAGAGACAGACACAGGGAACCAGGCCGAAGCTGTGTTGCTTTGGCTGACCCAGCCTCTGAAGCCTAGTGTCACTCCTGGCCCGGGAGCTTCCCTGACTGTGCGGCCGCCAGGGCAGGCCCCTTTCACACTCCACTAGCCACTCCATTTAGTTGAAGTGCTTGCCTGAGTGGGGCCTCACCACTGTTTGCTGACTTAATGACTGGAGAGGTGGACATGAGCGATTTACTGTCACACTGATTTCACAGATGAGGAAGCAGGACCAGGAGGTAAGCACCCAGAGGAGTGGCTCCCTGGAATGAGCTCAAGGGAAAAATCTTAACCTCAGAACTGGAGCTAGCTTTCAGGAAAGGGTTGAGAGCCAAAGTCCAGCGGTCTGGCTCACTACTTCGCCAGGGCACCTCTCATGGGGTTCAGAGTTCACACCCGACTGTCATTGCAAGTCATGGTTGCTGCCAGCCTGGGCTGCAGTCAAGGACTGATTGAGCAGACAGCGCCTCTGTTACACAGATGACATGACAAAATTGAAAGTCATGTGTGTCGTGGTAACTGGATTTCCCAGAAGCCTGAATGTGCACTTTTTCCCCCAAAAGAGCTCATGGTGAACCAAACTTGAGCTTATTGTTTTTCAATTCAACATATTGTACATTCATAATTCAGGGACATTGATTACATTCCTCAAATTATACAACCATCCGCCCTCTCCTTTTCCAGATTGTTCCACCACCGTTCACCTGAACGTGGTCTCTCCAAAAGCCAAAGCTTAAGCATTTCCCCCTCCCTTCCAGCACCAGTAACGACTCATAATCCAAGGCTTTGATATATTTGCTGATTTCGTGCAAGTGAGATACCTGTTCTTTTGCAACCAACATGCTGTGCTCAGCATACTGCTTTCAAAGCCCGTGCATGTGGTGTGCTCCAGAACCTCCATTCTCCCTGGGGCTCCCTAAGGGTCCCCATATTGCAGGTACTGGTTCGCATTTGCTGATCCATCCAGCTGTTGACCATTCCAGAAATGCTATAGTGAGTGTGGATGTGCCTGCCTTCCCTTGTGGGTGGGTCACTGGGATAGCAATTGCTGAGTCACATGGCAGTTCCCTGGCCAGGGGGTTGCTTTCCATCATGGCTCTGCCTGGTTCGCCTGCCTAACACCTCGTGTTGTCCATTTTTATGACCATCACCATTCTAACGGGGGAAGAATGGGATCCCTGCGTGGTTTGGGGGCCCTGGTAGCACGCTGGGTCCAGCACTGGGCTAAACCCCTAGCAATTTGGAGGGGGATAAGATACGGCTGCTGTACAGGGTTACCAGGAGTCAGAGCGGACTTGATGGCAGGGGCTTTGGGTTTGGGTAATGTTAATGAGAGGAACTGCGCTGGCACAATGGTGAGCCACTTGGCCCTTCTGACCAACCTAGTAGCCTTGCAGGAGAGAGACTCCTGCCATGTAGATGGTTCCCCCAATTTTCTCTCTTTACACTTTGTTGACAAAGTCTTTCGATGAACACAAGTATTTAATTTGTGGTTATATCTACGGCCTATGATCTCACTCTACATTTTCTCCTGAGAACAGTAAGGGTTTTGTTTTTTCACATTGAAGTCCTCAATCCATTTTGAGTTGGTTTTCATGTATGATGTGAGGCAGGGATCTTTGTTTGCTTTTCTGCATGTGGAAATCCAACTGTCAGCACCATTTGTAAGACTTCTTTCCCATATTGAATGGACTTAGCACCCTTGTTGAAAATCAGGCAATCATTGATATATACCATTATTTCTGGCTTCTTAATGCCATTCCATTAATTTACATGTCTGATATTATGCCAGTACCAGGTCATTTTAGTTGCTGGAGCTTTATAATATGTTTTAATGCCTGTAGTGGCCTCCTGTAGAAGTCCCTTGGCCTTCCAGCTAAACTTGAGGATTGGATTGTCCATTTGCAGGGAAGATTGGGCAGATGAGAAGAGAAACCCAACCCAGACTTGCATCCATTTCGTTACTTCATTTGAGGGCGTGTTTCAGTGTATCGGTTCTCATTTGACAGAAATTACTACAGAAAAATCTAGCCCTTTCCCCATGTTACCCAATATCTGGTGTGGCGTCAGTCAGCCTGGCTTCCCTGCCCTTCACTTCCAGGAAATTTTTTACTTCCTACCTTACAGATAAAGTCAGACTTTATTCTGACTGATTGAATTTTGTCACGTAACTTCTGTTTACTCTTGAAGCTAGAGAAGATAAAGGAACCTCTTTTTTAATGCTCTATTCTACTTAGACAAAACGCTTAAGCAAACATCTTAGTTTCCTAGTTGACGTTTTGGTCTGGATAAGTCTGTCTTATGAAATGGGACACACACACTGTAAGAAACAACAATGACTCCAGATACTGTCAGATGTGCCCTGGAGGGCAACATTCTGCATCTCCATTGAGAATCATGCCTTAGAACTAGAACTTGGAGGCGGTGGCATTTATTGATGTGAGACTTTCATCCCAGCAGGGATTGCTCTAACCTTTAGCTGCTGCTAGGAATTGTACACGCGTGCGAGTGTGTGGTGTGTGGTGTGGTCGAGTGGAGCGAAAGAAGAATAAATTGCCTGGGGGAGCAGAAGGAAGGCCAGGGTAGGGCTGAGGAAGAAAATCCTTGGAATTAGGGAGATGATCCAGCTTTCTTCACCTGGAGTGTTCTTTTCTGCTTGCTATTATTGATTGTTGGCATCAAGTGGATTCTGACACCACTTAAAATGGTGAGCCCTTTCCCCTAAAAAACTCAAGAACCCAAACTCGCTGCCAGGGAGCTGACCCTTAGCGACCCTCGATAAGGGCAGGATCGAGCTGCCCCCATGGGTTTCTGAGACTGTGAAATAAATCCTTATGGGAGTAAAAAGGTTGGTCTTTCTCCCTCATCTGGAGGTTAGTGGCCCACCTCATAACGCCAGGCCCTGGGGTTTTCCCCGAAGTCCTGCACCGTGAATCCAGCGCCTGGGGTGGAGGACTCACTGGGTCCCAATGCACGAGGGAGGCAGTGGCCCCGCCCCCTCCGCGGGCCCTTGGGCTCCCACATCAGTCTCTGGTTTCCTGTTTGCCTGGGTCCTGGGCTCTGGATGGGCGGGGGAACCGAGTGTGTACAAGAGATGAGGGCCCTGCAGTTTGGACGGATCAAGGGCCGGAAACCCCGGGTCACTTGCTCGTGGGCTTGTTCAGTCAGTGCCCACCTTCCCAGCACCTCAGGGGGCTTTCTTGGGGCCCTTGGGTTGCTGTCTCCACACTGAGAGGCGCACAGCACGCCGCACAAATGTTTGTTCTTTCCCAGCTGCCCTGCCAGTAGCTCTGGAGCCAGTTGTTTGGATGAGAAAGTGGATTTGACTATCTTGCTCTGCCTGACACCTCCCCTCCCCGCCCCCTGCCAAGCTTGTTTTTCATCTCCTTTTCAATTCCAACTTCCGCTGAGCAACAGCCTGTGCCCTTTGAACCTGCTGCAGATGTTTCCTCCTGAGAGGCTTTCTGAGCCTGGGCTGTCTGGTAGGTGCATAGGCGTTGCCACGCCAGCCACTTGTCCTCTTAGAGGCCAAGAGGCTGCAGAGCCAAGGCCGGTCATGGAGTCTGCAATTTCCTCTGAATCTGGCCAGGCCTGCTTTAGCGAGCGCCGCTTCCACCCTGCTTTGCGCGGCGGCTGTCACGGACCCGGGCCTTCCTGTCCACTGGAGGAGAGGGTAGGGGTTTTGAGAGGACAGCATGGTGGAGGTTGTCCCCCAGACCTTTCTTGTTAAGCTTGGTGGTAGCTCAAATGCCAGGGGCCTGGCTCTCCCTTCAAGCTGTCAAGAACCATTGAGCCAGCTCCTCTTAGAGCTTGAGTCCATGGGTCAATCAAGGAGACAGAGGTCTCTGGGAGGGACTTACAGCCCAGCTGGGGGAGCCACTACACCCCACCAAACACTTCTTAGGGTAGCCTTGGCCCTATGGGCTTCTGAGACTAACCCTTTGCGAGCATCTTCCGCAGGGCGACTGGTGGCTTCAAACAGCTGACCTTTCGGATTGCTACCCAACTCATACCCCATTCCACCACCAGGCCCCCTTTGGGGCGGGTGGGGCAGGGGGAAAAGCAAGCAGTAAAACTCTAGTGCAAAACAAAACAAAACCTCTAGTGCGCCACAGGGCCCCGAGGGCTGTGGAAGGAAACCCCGGCAGCTGTGCGTGGATGACAAGACAGGCTAAGTTAGCTCTCCTGAGTAAAAGGCAAATCCCTGCCCCGTTTACCGAGCCCCGTTTGAGCCAGCTTGGGCACAAAGACCACATGGCAACTTCATCAGACAAAAGTTCCGTCTGAATTCTGAGCCTTCGCTCCTTGCAGACAGCACCCCCCACCACTCCGAGAAATACTGGGCCTGTTTTGAAGAAAGCAGCCAGCAGCCATGGTGGGGGCTCTCTGAGTGTAGTCAGAGGTGGTCTTCAACTTGACTTGGGGACCGAGGTCCTCTACACTGGTCCTTCCCACCCTCTGGATCCCACAGCCAAAGCACTAACCTGGTTATTTGTTTTCCAGCTATTCTTTCTGAAGATGGTGTTTCCATCACTCCAGCTCTTTCCAGAATTCCTTGCTCATCAATTTACATCATGTTGAAGATCAGTTTGGGCTCTGGTCCTATTCCTCTTCAATGTCCTCTGAGTTTTGAGCCTGAGAAGCAGTCTGAAGGGACCCGCGCAGGGCTGTGGGTGGATGAGTTCTCCTAGGGCGGTCCTTGGTTCCTGCGTGGGACAGCCCTGGCCTTTGTCTCAATCGTGCAGTTTTCAATGTTCTGAAAACTGATTGTGGTAGCAATTGTACAATAGTGCTTGATGTGATTGAGTGATGGAACAATGTGATGTCTGTATGAACTCCCAATGTTTAACATGGTTTTGGGAAAAAGAAAACAAAACTTTGTCCTAACAAACCTCCGCAATATTTTTTGTCCTTTGGAGAAGAGGAAAACATTGCTGTAACCTTCTGTCCTGAATTGAATTGGCCCAGCAGATCCCTCTGGAACCCACAGTTTGGATTGGACCCCTTCCCTTTTTGAAGCCCCCCCCAAATGAGATTAAGACAAGTGTATGCCCAAGAGAACTTGCCTGCAGGCAGAGACAAGGTTTAGATGCATTTTGTTTGGAAGAAACCCTTCAAGACATTCATGGAAAAATGTTCTTTTCATTCCATTTTCCTATACTGTGCTAGAAACCCCTGTGTGTCCGGAGGGTGGAGGGTGGAGTGTCTCAGCAGACAGGGCGGCTCGGGGCCACCTTTGGTTGGTGAGTTGCACTTTGCTTTGGGACCTATCCTGGTGCGGGCTGGGTCTTGAGTTGCCACGTCGGGAGTTTCCGTTTTTCTTAGTCATCAGTTGCAACTTCTGGGTGAGTCTGATAGCGACTCTTAGTCATCGTGACAGGGAAGATCTGCCTGGATAAGCACATTTGACAGGCCAACCTTTGGGAGAGAAACTCTTGAGCTGTTCTGGCTGGAATTTGTTCCGCCTCTGGGTAGCTTTGCTGAGTCCTTCATTTAAAGGCTGACATGTTAAAAGTAGTCTTGGTAATATAGCTGAATAAGAAGAATATGAGGCCAGAGTACCAGTTTATCTTCCAAGGGACGCTATAAATGCATGATACTATTGCATGTAGTTTTCTCCCCCATTTCAAAGATCAAGTTGTTATCCATCTGTCATTCCTTCAAGTGGTAGGCAGGGTGCCTACCAAGTCTGGAAGTCAGGGTGACTCAATGTTAGGAAAGGTGAATTGGTGCGTTTTGGGTGGTCCATGAGGGCACACGATAAACTAATATGCTCTATGTTTTTAGACTTTATGACCAGCTGTATATTATTGTACGTACCGAGACACAAAATCCACGTCTGGGTTCACTGTTCCACTTTATCAGCAACATGATTCCCCAAAGCAGAGATTTTTAGGACAAGTCCTGACTCTGATTCCACACTGGAGGCCAGACGTTTACTTGAGCTCATCATTCTTTCACACCGCCTCAAACAGTCCTTTCGGAGTTTCAACCACCGGGCCCCAGGCCCCCAACGGCAGTGGCTGAAAGAACAGACCCCTGCCTTCAAGTAAATGCTGTCCACGGCTTCTTTCTTGACAGTCAGTTGTGTGTACAAAGTTCTCTCTTACTCACAGTTCTTGGGTGACATGCCAGCCATTCCGGTCATTTTTGTCTGTCAATAAGCTCAAGGTTGTAAATTAGGATTGCAGTGATCACAGGATGTCAAAAGTAAGACATTGGCATTGCTGTGATGTCTGCCTGCAGTGTCTGTGCGCACCTGAACATTCCCAACTGAGGCTCCCTAACTCTAGGCAACAACAAATTTATTTTCCATCTCTATAACTTTGCCATATAAAAAATGGAACCTAAATAGAATCAGATCCTCTACATATACGTTCATACATAACACAGGCAGGCGTGGCTTCGGCTCTTTTTCCCACTCGGCCAAATTTCCTGCAGGCTGATTCAGGTGGTCTATCAATAGTTTTTAGATTTTGTCTTGTTTTCTCTTCCTTTTTATGGTGGAGCAAGATTACATGCTCCTATGGCTCGTTCAGCTATTCCCTTACCAAAGGACATCTGGGCTGTTTCCCATTCAGGGCTGTTCTGCGGAACATGGCGATGCACATTTATGCCACTTATGTTTGTCTCATGGTCGCTTGGCTAGCTCTAAAGAGAAGAGGCCAGCTGGCTTGCCAGCGTGTCCTTCCGGCCAACAGTGTGTGAGAGACCGCGTTTTTGTGCATCCTAGGCCACATTTGCCATGGGCCCTTGTTTGAGTGTGCCTGGGACCGGGTGTGTGTACCACACCGCAGGGTGGCTCTGCTGTGCATTTTCCCTGATGTTTGAGGCAGGACATCTCTTTCTGCAGATCTTCCTTGGTGAAAGGTGCCCTCATATCTTTTGCTCATTTTCTAATAGGAGCATCGTTGGGGTTTTTGCTGTTGCGAAGGTTTCCTGGTGAGTTTTGAAACTCATTGATAGATTCAGATGCTAGTCTGTTGTTTGTATGGTTTTTCTTCCTCATAACTGGTCTTTCCCAGCGCTGCCATTTAATCTAGGGATTTCCACCCCCACCCCACCCCTGTTAGTCTCGTGGTATCAAGTCCACATACTCTTTGCCTAGCCCCTCAACCCTGAAGAATTCCTGGTTTGCCCCTAGCAGTTTTATAGTTTTCTGTTTCCTGTTTAATTTGTATGTGTGGAGTTGATTTCTCTGTGAGGTGTGAGACTCTAGGGCTTAAAAAAGCAATCCCTTGGGTTTCTTCGTGTGGGCCTATTTCTGGGTTCTCTTTTCTGCTCCCTTGATCGACAGACAGCCCTATTCTGATTCAAACAGCCCTGTCAGCCTTGCCCGTGTTCTAACTCTTAAACCCGGGTAGACTGAGTCTCCTCACTTCATTCTTCTTGTTAGCAGTTCCGTACTTGGTTTGTAAGCAGGCCGCTTGTCCAGAGGTGAATTTAGTGGAAACGACCTGGACCATGTGAGAAGCCTCCAGTGTCATCGAAGAGCACCCCAGGTGCAGTGTCACTTGGCAGCTGGCACGTAGCCGCCATACTGGGGAGAGCTTGTGGCCATCTGCAGGGCAGCCGTCCCCGCCAGGCTCGAGCTTCCCAGATTCCTGCCCTTGAAACACTGTGTTTTGTTCTTCATTGATTCTGCATCCACTACAGGTAGTACCTCTCAACCCTGCCCCCCTCCCCAGTCGACAAGCTCAGTGATCCCTTGCCTTCATTTTCTGGATATGCACTGTGGTATTGCCCGCAGGCTCATATTTGCAATCTGTTCTTCATCTAGACTTGACCGTTTATCTATAGGGGTGTTCCCAAACCGTGAAATTCAGTAAATAGCTTTCCTAGTATTAGAACGTCAGGCACTGTCGGTTGCCTTCCCAACACCTCCCTCCCTCCTAGTTCCCTGGTATGGTGTGGGATGGCAGGCACCCCTTTTGCTGGTCGTCATGGCTCTGTGCCATAGTTGTGGCCAGTGAGACATCAACAGATGTCACTGGGGAAGTCCTGGACCAGATGCACTGACATGACCATTCTTCCTGCTTCCTGTCCTCTGTGAACATTCTGTCTTCTAGAAAGTTATAGAAATCACTCAGCTTCTGATGACCCTCTCCTATATATTCTCCTTCTGCCTCCTACTTCTGCTTTTTTTCTTTTTGTGCCTTTTATGCCTCACCCCATCCCTTAGGCTACCCTGTTTCCCTGAAAGTAAGACATCCCCCTAAAATAAGACCTACTTACAGTTTTGCCTCTCACTGAAATATAAGACACCCCCCAAAATAAGACCTCCCCCAAAATAAGGCCCCCCGAACCTACTGTAACTCTGGACCCTGGACTGTAGCAGCGGGTGCCACCCCGCAGCTCACTGTTGGCCGCAGCACAGCCGGAGCAGACAGGAAGTGCAAGGTCTCTTAATAAAACAATAAACAATAAATGTGTACTGTATTCTTCTTCATGGAAAAATAAGGCATGCCCTGAAAATAAGACTGAGTTAGTTAATTGTGCCAGCCTGGCCAATAATCACATGTGGGGCTAATTGAAAGGCGGAGGGATAAATGGGTGGTGAGCCTCGCCTTTCTAGCTCTCGGGTCTCTTGC